CTATTCGACCTCCACCGCCACGCTAGGAAGTATCTTTTCTCAATGAAGGCGTTTCTTCTACGCCGTCACTCTTCATGTAGTAAAAATGTAAATCAATTAAAGCTGCATCATTTTTGATTGGGTTTTGACATGATGCAACTATTTGACCTCCGCGGCTATGCTAGGAAGTATCTTTTCCCAATGAGGGCGTTTCTTAAACGCCGTCACTCTTCATCTAGTATAATAATGTAAATCAATCAAAGCTGCTTAATTGTTGATCGGATTGTGAAATGATGCAACTATTCGGCCTCTGCGGCCACGCTACGAAGTATCTTCTCTAAATGAAGGCGTTTATTGTGCGCTGTCACTCTTCATCAAGAAATCATGAAGACCAATCGCATTTATCTAAGCTGCTAAACTGTTGATTGGGTTATGATATGATGCGACTATTCCGTCTCTGCGGCCACGTTAGAAAGTATATTTTTGCAATGAAGGCGTTTCTTGTGTGTCATTACTTTTCATGGAGGAATTTGACTACATTTTGTCTGTAAAAACGCCTACCAGCACAGGGAAACTAATAATGGTACCTGAGTTGTTTCTGCACTGAGCGGGAAATTGTAGTTTTTAATTTCAAAATGTAGTCTAATTATGTCATACAATTGCATTTATTTACAAATCTAAGCTGCCACACTGTTAATTCATATGTGAGTTAAGATCATTCTCCGTTCAATCAATTGAAACTTTCCACTTGCAGAACACTGGAAAAAAACACATTGGATCTAGAGTCCAGACTCTTGAAAACATTGACAAGAAAAAATACTCTTGATTCAATCGGATTTTTGCTTGAATTAAAACGAAATCCGCTTAAATTAAGAGGTTTGGTTCTTGATTTAAGCTAGATTCTGATTGAATCAAGAGTACTTTTTCTTTGTCAATGTTTTTAAGAGTATGGACTCTAGATCCAATGTGTTTTTTTTCCAGTGAAGGAACCAAACCCTATTGGAGTATAATTGGGCACTCAACTCATCATTTATTGAAAGATGTACTTAAAATTTTGCGTCCCTACACTATAACCTACTTAACTCAATGGTAAATCCGGTTCTGATTACAAATATTGATCGAAATAAAGATCCTTTACTTACGACAACAGGCAACACATCACTTAATATTTTTAGAGGTAATATTAAGACTTCGATCGAAAAAAGCGGAAATGATTAGATTTTCTGATTCGATCGAATCTTGAATTCAATATCGAGTAACGTTCATTCTCTCTGAAACTTATCATAAAAGGTGTTATGTACGTTCGACGGATAAATAATAAGCGATCGGAAAAAGATGAGTACCAAAGTTCGACGCGAAATTCAAATGAAGATTTTGAGCGGGTTGCGGAGCAGGAAGAGGCAGTTCTTAGCGCTCAACACTTGACGCAACGTCTCATCGCGACCTTCACCACGAATCCATCGGCTGCATTAATCGAGAATAAATTATCTCGCTTATCAGTTAGGTCTGAAAATTCCGCTCTTTGCATCGCATCGTCCGACCCGCGACTCAAATTCTTGTCGACCACCCTCTGGCCATCGTTAAATTGCAGTTCTAAATTCCTGAAATATTTGACCTTCAAGTAAATTCCACGGTGCTAGAAACCTAGTTTTAGAGATCAATTCAGCGTATTTATGCTAAATGGAATCATGTGGAAGTGAATTCTATAAAGAATAAGTACGTTCTCAGGATTTGCTCGCTTGATATTTTCTTTCGATTTAATTCATTCGTACTACTCGAACATAGTACCTTTCAGCATTAATACATCGAACTATTAAGAGAATAATAGAGGATGGTCACATGATGCCTTGTCCTCTTGGCCGTCTTGTTCACTTAAACCGAATTCCTTTCTGAATTGAATGGATTTCTTCGAAAACCACGACACTCTATTGCGATGTTTCAGAGCTGTCTTTTGAATTTTCTTAAGTAAAAAATAAACCAACAAACGATATGCATAAGCAATAAGCGTGTAAGCACACGATATGACATTTTGAAGCATCTGTTTCAAACATATTGGCGAGCATCCTCTACAAAAATAGAAATGTGGATACAAATACCAAAACGGCTCAACAAAGTTGGCAGTCTTGAAAGCAAACCATTCAACTCCATTTTGGTACATGCATTTGTTGTTCTTATCCAACTCTTTGCTAGGCTCATAAGATTGCGCAATTAAAGATTCACTGTTTCAAACTTTGAGTGAAATAAAGCGCATTGCATGAATTAAGTTAAAATCAAAATTTCTCAATGTTTATTTACCTGTTAACTGAATATATTGTAGAAACGAATTTTTCCATCATGTGATGTTAAAAGAAGGGACAAAAAAGGAGAGAAAAATTTGAAAAATGTATTTTCTTCTCTTATACTTGTTTTGAAGTGTTGCACATTTCAACTTTTCTCGCTAAAAACATCATGGCACATGTATTTCACTTCTATTTGCATAATTTTTCCCACAAATGGTGTATTTTCAAATCCTCTCATTAATATACAAGATCACTATATCAGTCTAAATACTAACTGTAAACTATTTGATTCCCAATTGATGCACGTATGACAACTAAAATGATGGAGAAGGGGGAGAGTAATTTCGCTCGACGTACAGCTAATTGAAATCCTTTCAGAGACTTTAACGCGACACAAAAAAAACAACAGATTGAGAAGCTCCCAAGTTCATCCCCAAAATGATTTTTTCTCGTAGTTTGTGATCGGCTACAGAAAAAAGGACACCAATGCACGGAGTTTAAGTTTTCAGGAGACGTTATTCCGTGCGCAAAAAATTAGTTACCAAAAATTATTTGAAATAAGCCATGGGATGACAACACTTATTTCCCGCTATACAAGGCAAATATATTTGAAACACAGGTATAGATTGCATGTTCGTGGGTTGACTTGTCAGTAGATTAATTAGATACGGAGTACCCACGGAGGTACCAGGTACCTGTCTGTGATTTTAATGAGAACGAAAACCTTGCCGCGTCCAGGCGGAACGTCAAATATTTTAATTTCCTCAAAAATATTCAGGGGTCGCACATATTATATTTCAACGTGAGTTCAGTATTGGTACCAAATTGATACAGGCCATCACAGGCACTGCGGGTGCATGTCTCGCGCGAATAAACTCTCTGTCAGTGAACCTACTTTTTTCCTCTCTTTATTGCCAAATATGGTCGCAAATTTATTACACATTCCTGCACAACTTTGGTTGTTTTTTGTTCATTTTTCTTTCTTACTGATGATGACCGGATAACTCAATACTACCGAGCAGAAAAATCCTCTGGTAAATCATGCTGTCGCAACCTTTTTTTTTTTCTTTCTTTCTTTTTTTTTCCACAACTTGATTTCAAAATGAGGCTAATCATTTTTTTGACGTTGAATTGATCATATATTCATACCTTTCAAACAATTTTGGCACCTAACAGCTGAACAACACTCAATAACACTTATTTCGGCTGTGAAATCTCAAAAATTGCACCGTTTTCTGTGATCAAGCTCAAATTGATGATGAAAACCACTAGTGCTATTTTCTCAGTGATATCTGGAACACGATAAATGCGTTTAAAAGCATGAACCTACTATTGAGGCTCTTTCATTGTACAATCGTGTCGTAACAATATTCTGAGCTCGGGCCAATATTTGGTGATATAAGATTGATTGCGATTTTTTATTGGTATACATGGGTAAAATTAATTCTAAAATCATAATATCCTCGAAAAATTCAAGATGCGTTTAGTAGTTTCATCAAATTCTAGAATGTGATATTCTCTTTTATTTCAGAGACCTCAAAACAAATAACGAGTTTATCCCTTTTTTACCAAAAAACTTTGTTCCATTCAATTAAACTGGATCTAGTTCTATAGTTGATGGAGGACGTTTTTCGACGCTTACTTTAATATTGCATGAAAATATAAGGGCAAGAAAGTGTACATGACACGAAAGTAATTTTCATCCGATTTCCTACAGAACACTCAGTCCTAAAAAACTCCAAAAAAATCCTCTCTCTGAAATCTGAATAAGAATGATAATCGTAAAATAAGTGAAACATTGTTTCCATTGCTTGCATAAAATTTTTACGCATATCAATCGTATCCCCCGTATATGAGGTTTCAAACTGACATGGAGTTGCACAGGGGAAAAAGATGATAGATTTAAACATTTTTACTAAAAATGGTAAATTGGTTATAGCTTTTTAATACTGTCTCTTAATTTTAGCCGAGGTATAATGTGCAAACCAATAAAAAATGTAACTGTATATTTGCTCTATTAACACATTTATTGACTGCATTTGAAATGTTTTTACTTCAACCATTTTTAGTCTAAACCATTTAGTCTGTTTTTCTTTTAATCCACATGAGTGAATTTGTTTGCATATTTAGCTTGTACTTTAAATAAATTTACTGTGATTGTCCTCTTTGAAAATTGGTTATTCTTTTCTTGGTGCCTAAGCCTTTAACTAGATCTTTACAAAAATAATATCCATACGATTATTCATAATTTACTGACATATTCAATTTTCGAACTTAATTTACTACTCCAGAGGAAATTTGATGATTAATTGATCAAAGATGGAAGATTTCTTCATAAAGATCTTAAATTTCGTAAAGATTGTAGAAATTTGGATTTTGTCCTCTTGTCTGTCAAAGAAAAAGCTATGAACTAGTGAGGACGTTTTGATGATTGTACCTGATTGCTCATTTTAAAAAAAAGAGTTTTAAGAATCTGAAATTATGTTCTCAATATTTTTCAGTGGCGGACAAAAGGATTTACCATGACTTTTCCATAATTATTTTTATTATTATTATTTATTTTTTTTTTTTTATTTTTTTTTTTTTTGGATCAAACTAGATCTTAGGAATTTTAATAGACAATTTAAACTGTTGAAAGTACATTTTTTGCGAAATCATATTGAATAACTTTTGTTCATATAGTAAGTTGTAATTTTATAGGATTCATAATATTAGTAGGAGTGAAAAATAATAAGTAAAAAATTTGAAATATCAAACGATTTTTTATTACAAAGAATATACCTCTTTTCACGAGAAAAGAAATTTCTTGAAAAAATAAATATTCATAAAAGGAACAATAATACACAAAGAACATTTACAAGAAACTTAAAAGATTTAAGGCACAGAATTATTTACAGAGACCTTCAAATCTAATTTACTGTACAATTAACTGATAATTTATAAATGCCTTAGGCGTGACTAGTTTCAAAAATGGCTTTTACCAAGCGTTATAATGTGTAATAACGCACTTCTAACGAAAATTTCTTGCAGAAAAAGAAGCGTTAGTTTCACATGTTGTTCAAGTGTCAAATTTTAAATAACTATTCATGAAATGGCTGCAATTTTTGAGAGTATTAAGTTTCTGTTCAATAAGTCCTTTGAAAACAGTTGAGTATTATATCCAAAAAGTTGAGATAAAAAGCCAATTTAATTAATAAACAATTTCAAGTAATGTGTTCAGCTTTTTTAACGGGACAGAAATAAAGCAAATATCCTTAAAATTGTGAATGTGTAGAGACATGAGGTGATTAAAACTTCATGAAAATTATGTATGGCTGGTAACAATTAAAAATGGTCAATCCGTATCTACTTTAGAGCAGCTGATTGCTCTGGCAGAATAGTTATTACTTTTCGACAATAAAAATATTTTATTCTGACTTCTGTTGGGAAAAGTAAAATTAAAACAGGAAAAATACATAAAAATGTAATTGGTACGCGCAAATATTACGATATTATAACACTTCAAAACAATTTGTCCATGACTTGAAAATTTTCTTTGGTATACTATCAAAATATGACAGTGATGTCGTAATTTACATTGGTTCGATGTAATTTTATACAAAAATACAAAGTAATGAGTATTATCTATTCAAGGTGATGCAAAGTTATTTAAATATAAAAAAATGAAAAAAAATGATCACCTATAAAAAGTAAACAGATACTTTTTATCGGAATAATTTGGTATCGAACTAATCGGGAGAGCTTCATCGCCCAATCATTGGTGCAAAAGTTGGAAAACTCAGAGAAAAAAACAGATAATTAAGTTCAAATCACAAACAATCTTTTGATGATGTCTTTTGAAATATGTCAAGATTATTGAGAGCTTAATATACAACTATTTGTCCAAAATAGCGTTTCTTCTCATCAAAAATTGCAATATCAAAAGTTGACCTGATTTTGAAGAACATTTAAATCGATCCGAGGGAAACATTAATGTCATGGTGTGCTCTCATTCCGTGCATGAGGAGTATTAAATTTACATGGTACGATTTTCAGTCTCAATAAACCTATACGAAATATACTTTCTTTAAAAAAGGCAAGATATTCAACAAGAAATTACAAAGTTCGTCCAGAACGTGAACAGCTCTGGAGAAGAAAACTGTTGACGGAGAAAACAGAGAGTGAGAGAAGAAGCGTTCGAAACGGGAGTTTCTGAGTACAGAGTTAAAAAGAAAAACGACTAGTGTTTGGAGTGGGGGGAGAGAGATTCAACAAGGAGGCTATGATGCGATAGCCAACGTCGGGACAGGCCGCGGCAATGACTGAAAAGCGTGGAGATCATCAGAGTGCACGGATCCTGTACCAGCGCATCCGCCATCCGTATGTTTGGACAGGAGAGACATCCTGGAGAAAGTCTTGCTGCAGGTCGGACACGAGTACTTCTTGACATCGGAGTGAGTCTGGAGGTGAGCCCGGAGATTCGACCTGTCCGCGAAGGCACGGTTGCAGTGTTGACACGAGAACGGCTTCTCGCCCGTGTGCGTCCGGATGTGACCCTGCAGGAGCCAAGGGCGGGAGAAGGCCTTCCCGCAGAGCTTGCACTTGCACGGAAGCGTATGCGTCCGGATGTGCATTTTCAAAGCGCCCAGAGAGAAGTAGATCTTCTCGCAGTACTTGCAGCTGAACGTCTTCTTGGCGGAGGAGTCCTCGTTGGCAGCGCAGTGGAACTGCTGGTGCTTGGAGAGCCCGGAGTAGGTGGAGTAGGACTTGTTGCAGAAGACGCACTTGTAGCGGGGGTTGGAGCCCTCTTTGCTCCGCTTCTTGCCGCAGCTGGTGCTTCCGCTACTGCTGCTCTCGCCGCTGCTGGCCACGCTCCCGGGGGAGGAGAGATCTTCGGGGGTGGCGGGCGGCGGGAAGTGAGACTGGAAGAGGCTGTGCGAGGACCAAGTCGGAGACACGGGGGACAAGCTCTCTGCGTAGGGGTAGGGGACGTAGAGTCGCGAGTCCAGCTCCCTCTTGACGGGGATCGTCGGGACGGGTCGGAAAGGCGAGAAACCGTAACTTGGCGATTTGGAGGGCGACCTTTCGCGGGTGTACGGGGAGATGGGCTGCTCGTAGCAAGGCTTGCTGGGCGAGAGGGCCGAGTAGTAGTGAGGGTAGACTTCCTTGTTGCCCGAGTACGGGTTGAAGGCCGAGTGCGGCGGGGAGTGCGGGGGCGGCGGAGGGGCCTCGCGGTACTTGAGCGGCGACAAAGTCCGCTTCATCTCCATCGGAGTGTTGAGGTTGAGCGGTTCCAAGGGACCGCCGCAGGTCTTGCTGGACGGAGTCGCGGGCGCGTGCGCCGGGGCGGCCGAGGGCAGGGACGGATAGCACGGCGCTCCGCTCATGGCTCCGAGGACCCCGCAACTTTCACCGGTCAGCGCTTTCATGCTCATCAGAGTGACACCTGATGATCCCGTTTTCCCGGCCAGGCTCAGGTCTTGCGGTTTCGTGCTCAGGTTTTCAGGCTCCGAGTGATCGCTCGCGCTATCTGAAACAAGCAAAGGAAACCGAACCGTTAGGATCTTACGCAACAACCGGATCCGACACTCGAACACAAAAAGTTTCAAATGAGGGGCTTGGAGAAAAAGGCGCATAAATGCAGTTTTTGCTACGTGTTGCTTGCACTGAAAAAAATAATATGCTGATTTAGCATCTAGGATGTCAAAAATATGTCTGGTGATCAAAAGATGTTGCCTTTACTGCCTTCGCAGTTAACTTTACATCCTGTGAATGCGAATTCAACTGCGCAGGCAATCAAGGCGCACCCTAGGATCACCAGACACATTTTTGAAATCCTAGATGCTAAAACAGCAAACCATTTTTTTTCAGCGTGCCGTCGAGAAAATTGGACTGCAATGGAGGAACTACCGTTTCTGGTTCACACATAAAAATACCTATATGCATAGGAAATCTAAGGGCATATAAGTTGTTTCTAAAATGAGCCACAAATCGTAGTTCCTGATTGCAAAGTGTAGTCCAGTTGAGGAGCACGGCGCATAAGTGCAGTATTTGCTATTTCGAGAAGTACGTACTTGAAGTCCCGAAATTACACGGATCGTTATGGCGGAAAGTAAGTTTCAAGTAACTTTTTGATGCTTAAAAATTTGATTTTGTGAGCAAATTGTTCACATAATATGCATTAAGACTAGTTTTACTTGAGATCATTAATACCTCAATTTTTTCAAAAACCGCACCTATGCGCCTTGTCCTCCAAGCTCCTCACATGATGAAATGAAAAAAAGTTAACTCGAAGCAATTATGCTGAACAAAACTGTGCACATAGCGGTTGCGTGCTCCATAGTTCCATTGAAATAATTCATTTTTACAAAGTTCCGTTTAGCATAAGTACGTCGAATTATCAAAGACAACCATTATTGACTAAAAATTGAGAGCTCCCTTCTCGTCCTCCTCAAAATTAGAATGCCCTCCATATGTTCCAATCAAAGAAAATACGTAACAAATGCATTCTTGATAGTGGTAAAATAGTAAATGAAAACAAATGGGCTGCTCAGGGGTAGATTTTTTCCTCTTCTTTCAGCTCGAAAGCTGAGTAGAAATTGAGGTAAGTTTGTACAATGCGTTCATAAGTATAATGCTTACACTTTTGTTTACAAATTGCGCCGCTAAATCGATTCAGCTTAAGTTTATGTCGTGAAAGAAAGTCTCAAAAAAGTATCGGAACTAAGCATTCTTCTTCGTAACTGAGAGTCCCGTATTTTTTCGCCAAATTCACATTTGTCTGCTGTAATAATTATTCTAATAAAGAAAACCGTCCTAATCTAATTTTTTAAAAACAGTCAGTTGCTTTAGCAAAATGTCGCGAATCTCATGTCAAATCGACCTGTAGGAGGCAAGCTTTTCATGATTTTCATTGGGTTCAAACATGACGCACCCTATCACGTGGGAAACATCACAGAATTTCAGTTTCAACTAAAGATTCCCTGGGGGGAGGGGGCTCCCTCAAAAAATTTTGAAATTTGAGCCTCTCAAAAAAGCATTTTTCAGCATTTTCTGATTATGAAACGGACAGAATTCAGCAGAACGAGGAAAAAGCCATATTCTCCAACAAATTTTAAGTCTGGAGTGATTGAGATTTAATCTATTTCTGAAGTAAAATTTGTAGTCAAACAACGACCAAAAGCTATCAGTACCAATTTAAGCTTATTGCTCCCCAAAGACTCAGTGCATTTTCCAAACTTTAAAAATCGTTCTCTCAAAACTAAGTAAACGTTGTTCCGTGTTTTCTGTTCCAACCTTTTTCTCCCTCGGCAAAGTTTTACGAGCTTTTTCCTATAGAGAGTCAACGCGCATTCGAAAAGAGAGATGATAAGGTGGCTAAATAACTTGTCTCGTACACAGATGCAACACAGTGGCGAGGCATGAATAATCGATCATCGATGTTTTCCCATTTGAAGCCATGGTAAAAATTGATTATCAAAGTGTTCATTGCAAACACCCTGTTCATCGATCCTTTTCCATAGGTTTAAATGGCAGATCAATCGATACATCGCACGGCACGCCACTGGCGCCAAGAGGCTCAGCTGCAGAGGCATGCACGGCGCAAAAGCTAAGAGAATCGTGATTCTCAGTGAAAGTTCTCGGGGCGGCTTTGGGAGAGCATGCATACATACATTTAAAGCATCAACACTATACGTTGTGATGCGTATACATGGATTCGCCGCCCGGCTGACAGAGAGGCGTAATTATAAACTAAGATGAGCCCAGAAAAACATTGAATTGTGCGGACAACAGGGTTCATTGTGGAGTGTAGTTACGCCCTCGTGCCAGGAAGACGACGAATTATCGGCCGCCAACATACACCCGACTACCGCTGGTTAATTCACCGATCAGTAAGCTAAATTCCCGTGCTTTAAAGCTCACGTGTTGTTTGAGATCAGCCCTGTATTCTCTCTGTACGTTTTTTGTCCCTTAGAAGCTGATTTCAACTGGTTACATAATATACTCGAAGCTACATTCATTGGCATCTAAACAAAATTTCATTTCCTGAATTTCTTACGACCCCACTCACTCTGATTATTAGCTAAAATATGTATAAATTTACAATTCATACTGAATGTATCTTTAGAAGAACTACCAGCGAAAAGTACTATTTGTCAAACTTGATTACAGTTAAAGTGGGAAATTCTTCGCTAAGAAAGAGAAAAACATAGTTTTGAGAGCCATACATTTTTTCCTGGAATACAATCATCATATTTTACGATTGAAACGTTATTGAGTACTACTCTTATCACGATTAATGCGTATTTTAAAAATGAACATTGTCAGGTTCAATTACAGCGTGCGAAAGAGCTACCTGTTGCTAGCACCATCCTGAGTAATCGGTGGGATGACCTTTGACTTCGGCCATCAAATTTTCCCAAAGTATTATTTGAATCGATAACTTTAAATTCCAATATTTTAAGCAACGATAACTTTTAAATAAAATGTTCTCGGAAAAAAAACTTAACTCATCAAAATCTTGGAACCAGTAATCCACTCTCACAAAAATGTCCATCAAAATAACGTCAAAGCCGTCCGTAGTACACAATTTTTACCGTAATTCATAGGTACTTAAGAAGATATTGAAAATTTTAATTCTATAAGAATATAAACTACACACACACAGAATTTAGGTTCATGAATCTAGAGGATCGGTCGAAACGATGTCGTGTGAACATTAATGATGCAGCGTGACAATTTTTTAGACGAATATCAAGATTTAATTTATTGTGGTACCAGATTGGTCATATTGTTCAATAATTTAATTTGAGAGACAATTGACACGTTTTGAGAAATATAATTCTTATCATATCAATGCGTGGCTCTTGTTTGTTTACATATCGGGCGCGTGAATACCTCGTGGTGTTTGTTTACGTTTGTTTCAGTGGGCCAAAGTGCATTAAACTCGTAATCATCAATTACAAACAAAATCCGTCGTTTGAGAATTACATCACTTTAGACCTCTCATTGAGAGAAAAATTGAAATTACACCATGTGACTCGTAATCAGATGCGGTAAGTAATTCGTAGTTTTGACACCTTCAAAAGGCTGATTATTTAATGAGCAAGTATACTCTCCACATTACACATAAATTGTTCTAGTATGATTCCTACTCACTGGTTTTAAAATACACGAAATTCAAATTATTAGGGACACCATTAAAGGGCTATCAAACTTATTGGGGGAATTTCATTAAGTATCGAAGTGCTGTGTGAATTTTGACTCATTAAAAATCAGATTTGCATAGAACTAGACTAGGCTGGATTAGGAGCGACAATTAAATATATTTAAAATTTAAAATAATACGGATTTAAACAAAATGTCACTGAATAAACATAAATATATTAATCCGCGTTTTAATTATTTCTCAGAGTATATTTTCGAAGCTGTGAATTATTATGAGATTTCTTATATTTATTCAGCAAAATCTAATTTCTGATTGAAGGTACAAAATAAATAATCTGGCATGTAAGTCCCCGTAAATTGGGGATGCAATATTTGTATACAATTTTTGATAAATGAACTTAGAGGAATGGATTTATTTGATTCAACGCCTAACACTGCGGCAAATTATCACGCCCCCAACGAAATATGAACCAATTGAAATTTTCAGGTCAAAATGGAATATTTTTTATTCGCACGACATAATCTAGAACCTTGCAAATTATATATTTTGATTGGACAGTGACAGATTCTTACCTGCATCATATTCTGATTCATCCTTCACGAAGTAGACTGGTCGCTTCTTGAGCGGGCAGTGACTGTAGTTATTTTTCTTGACGAGGAACGAGCGAGGCATTGTGGCGACTCGAATGGTTTCTTCTTTTACGTGCATAATCCAAAAAATCAGCGAAACTTAATCCAGCACTGAGCACACTTAATATCCACGCATGAGCACAACAAAATTCCTAATTATTTTTTCATACAAAAAACAACAGAGTACAAATTCCAGAGGACACAGCGATTGAAAATAAAATCGAATTAAAGTTATTGTAACACAAGTCTGTTGAATAAAACAGAGTGAATTCCGATTTCAACGAACACGCGAAAACTATTCGAAGTTGACGAAAGCACGATCACAAGCGTATCAGAGAGCGACAGCGCAACACATGCTTACAGCTCGACTGCTGGCGCAGTTCTGACTAGCGGAAGGTCCGCGGGTAGGCAATATACCCTCTGCTCCTCTGGACCCCACTTCGGATCCTGGAGTATACTACTGAAAAAAAGTTGGGCGCCACGTGCGCGTCAGCCAATCAGAGGCCGCGCCGCTCGACCAATCCAGCTCGGTACTAGGTGGAGTCTACGGACAGGTGTGGATTGTGCACCTCTCCTGTCCTATTCCCGTTTTTTTTCTCGTTTCTTTTTTGTTTACACATTTCATCTCGGCGAGTATATGAATCTGGGCTCGGTGCCGTTTTATCTCCATCTTCGTCACCTTTCTCCCCAAACCCTCCCCCTCCCCCTCGTCCCTGCCCCCCGCCGCCACCCGCCTTCGTAGCTCGTGCGCATTTCTACAGATGCTTTTCATCACCTCGATCGCTATTCTCCGCGGAAACCAATAGTTGCCCGCAAAGGAAAAAATCTAGTGAACATTATTGTGATGTTCCGTTCTAGTTTTTACGTGTCCACAATTGCGGAAACATCCAAGACTTTTCCTGATTTTGCTGCTTACCGAAAAATATTGTTGAAATTACCATTTTGCTGCCGGAGGTTACGGTAACAAAAAAAAAAAAAAATGGTATGCTGTTTTTGCATCCAGGAGGTCAAAAATGTGTCTGGTGATCCAAAGATGCTGTCTTTGTTACCAAGGCAGTTGAATGTACGTTCTCAAATTTTAAAAGCAACTGCGTGGGCAATAAAGGCAGTATCTTCGGATCATCATACACATTTTTGACATCCGAGACGCTAAAACAACATAATACTATTCTCAGTGAGAATTTATAGATTTTTTCAGAAATATGGTTCATTCAACCATATTTTTTTGTGTGTCAAAATCAGCGATATATTTGTTATGAAATAAATGTACTTTTTATTTTTCACATCCCGGAAAACCTCAATGGTTTTGCAATTTCCATCGAAAGGAAAAGGTGGTGCTTTCTTAAACACCGTGCAAACTAGGTCCTTCTAACAATTTTCCGGGTAGGTATTGAATTATAGTGCTTTAAAGTGAAGCAGATACGTAAGTTTTCTATTTTATGTACAATTTTGAGAGACAGTATGTTAATTTCGCAAACTTTTGGACTCCTAGTAGAACCTGTAGAAGTTGCAAAGTCCCAGAGACATTGCAATATATTTGGTGCGTTATTTGATTAATCCCTGTTAAAGTGATCTTGTGAGATACTGCCACTTTCTTGGATTTATCGCGAATTAAATACTCTATTAGAACTAAGTAAGAAAATATTTGTGACGTATTAAAATAATCAATAATTTTTATTTTTAGCTTTTATCAATTTTATAATTTTTTGTTGAAAATATACTAAAATATAAGTACTTACTATTGCCATCCGGATGAAATAAATGTTGGAGTGATACGCATAACTATTCAACACATATATGCCTCTTGTTGGGTAAAAATGCCGATAGGTGGAAATCACCATGCGATGCTTTCGTGTTCCTACTACCCAATAAAAATAACCGGGGAGGAATAATGCATCCTAAAATATGCACTTATCTTCCATTTTGCATAAATAGTATACCTAATTTTAGATTACTTATGATAATAAGAAACGAAATTTTAAATAATTAAAGACGGAAACATCTTCATTGACAATTCTCCTCCGAAATGAATTTTTTGAGATGGTCGAGTTTCAAGAGAGTCATCAAGAGATAGGTCAACAAAGTTTATCAAATGAACTTTAAAGAAAGAGAGTAATGAGAATTTGACATGATTTCCTTTCAGTTTAAGATTCTGAGAGATACGCTTCATTTCTTTCGTGCAAAACCCTCTGAGACGGCGGAATGTTGGGCTGAACTTAAGTTCTCCTTCTATTTTGAGGTTATGCAATTGCGGGCACGGAGAAGTTGATATAATTGTATCACGCATTGCGATGTGAAAGCGCAATTTGTGACTATCGTGAGAATGCCGCAATGATGGGCTGAACTTAAGTTCTCCTTCTATTTTGAGGTTACGCAATTGCGGGTACGGAGAAGTTGATATAATTGTATCACGCATTTCGCTGTGAGATCGCACTGTGTGACTATGTAAGGATCATGAAAATGCCGGAATGATGGGCTGAGCTTAAGTTCTCCTTCTATTTTGAGGTTATGCAATTGCGGGTGCGGAGAAGTTGATATAATTGTATCACGCATTTCGCTGTGAAAGCGGAATGTGTGACTACGTGAGAATCATGAGCGTGCTTGCTACGTACACTTGTCAGTATAGAAGGAAATAACGAGCATGTTTATGACAATCATAATTTGAAAACCTTAGGAATATTTAATTAAGGAGTTATCAAGGAAAATTACCTAATTATGGTCAAATGTTTAATGAAAATATAACAAAAAACTACTGTTGTCCTTTAGACTGTTCTTTTGATCCATGAATTCTTCCTCTTTTTTAATTTAAATTCTGAGTCATTAAAAATGAGTCTGGCGTTTATTACCGTACTCGAGTCACTGCGCCAAAGTATGGTGAGATTTACCTAATTTTTTTCAGTGATGCCTGAGAAAAAACAGAAAATTTTGGATGGACGTGTTTTCATCCTGTGTCCTCGCTGATATGCAGCATTAGCGGTTTGTATTGAATAAAAAGAAGAGGTTCACTGCATATCAGCGGTTTTACAGTCACCAATGCGTCACCAACGATTCGTGAAGATAGGTCGTGGCTCTCTGCGGGAGGGATAAAATCGATAGAGTCTGCTGCCGATCTGAGGAGGGAGGGTGAGGACGAGGGGGGAGGGGAGAGAGAGGAGAGAGACGAAAACAGGAATAGACCAGAGGGAGGAATAAACCGGTGAGCTATGCGGAGCGCATTGCAAAATAGAAGATGTATCAACGCCACCTTTCGAAGGTGCACCGTACCCACTACAGCATCCCGAGGGCCTAAGGCGGAAGGGGGAAGAGGGAGGGACTGCAGCTGGTGTCGCGTGCCCCCACAGCAGCTGAGGTCCTACTCGCTCGCTCTTGCACTGATTTCAGATCCCAAATTAGTCCCTAACTGTTTTTGCTCTTTTTCTTTCCACTCATTTTTATCAACATAAATCAATCTCCCATTCAGCTCGCTCGAGTCGTTAAATTGATTCCGTCCCTCCTTCCGCTCTCGTTTCTTGTCTCCTTCTCCCCTCGTTTTCTATATATCTTTCTAGCTCACCGGCTCGTTTACCTTCCTTAGTGGCCACCTTTACACGTCCTTCGATTAATCCTTATCGTCACGTTTTATCTTGTTTCTGCGAGGTCATGACCTGGAATCGTGCCAAATTTTGGGTTGGCTAAACCGCGTTTACCTAAACCGCTTTTGAGGTACATTCCGGTAGAGCTCATCAGGCTGTTGAGAATTGATCAATGAACTAACGAAAAACCATAACTATTCACTGATGAAAAAGATCACTAACGGCTACATACAATTCGGTAAATGTTCATCTCTGATGCGATATTTCGAAATCCTCGGTTATATTTTATTTCATTAAAAAGAGACTAACCAAAATTGTCTGTAAATACACGTCGAAAATCATTATAAATCGTTTTGATCGGTCGCATCTTTTGAGGGGCTTCAATATTTTAACAGCCTGATTTAAATTTGTCTTCCTCGTTAAAAAATCGCTTTATGCAGACTTCCAGTTCACCAGAGAAACCCCTGGAAACCCCTCCGAATCGGGGTTTCCGCCAGTTTGACTGGCCGCCAGTTACAGGGGTTGTCCTAAGACTTTTGGGGTCACTCTGTATATGTTATGGGCAGATCGTTATCGGTCCAGCAAATATATAATACCCTGCCCGATGTATGTCGCCAGTGAAAGGAAAAGCAACCTGTGGAGTTGCGATTTGAAAAAAAAGTTCTGGTCAACCCCCCCCCCCCCCCCCCNCCCATCCGTTTACTGGGAGGGTCCTCAAAAAGTTTGGGGGGCCCCAAAAGTAGCTTACATTAATCCATTAGCACCCCCAACGTTTCGTCACAAAATATGGATAAGGTGAAATTTTAGAGGGAGGCAGACTGGACTCTTCGGACACCGTATGTATTTGCCGGAGACTTAAACGAACGGGTAGAAAGAACAACCATGAAATTTAGTAGGGAGCACATGTATTCCGGTGCGAACGTTCTTGATAAAAGTTGGCAAGATGGCTTGAGCTTTTCTTTTTTATGTTTTCAAATAGAATTTTGATACTTCCAGGACACCCCTAAATTCAATATGACGTCCAAAATGGCCGTCACGGGTGTGGAATTTGTGAACCTAGCGCCTTTAGTTGACATGTACGTTGATTTCTATGTATTTTTGGTCAAACATTTCAAACATGAACTGCAAAATTTACTCCAACCTCTTAAGGACCCAAAAGTCCAATATGGCGGCCAACCCCCTCCCTTTAAAGACAAATGGGCATGAAAACTCTCGTAAGACGAGTGAAGTATCTTTCATGAGGTTCCGTGGGTTATGAAGTCCATTTATAATTTCAAAAATTTCTTTTTGATTAATTTCGGGCATTTTAATCACTGTCATCTTCACACACCAAATAAATGGCATGTTCTAAGTCGGTACTTGATACCTTCTGCAGCCCTTCAATTGGCCATTGGTGCCATCTCGGGTCATCGATCCAGACTTCCGAGGTAGATATTACCCAAAACTTGTATCAACAATTTCCGGATTGGTATAAGAGAGTTGCGACCCGCGATTACTCACTAAAATAATGGGATTCCGAATCTACGTTAATGATTTGGATCTCCAGGTTAGTTAAGCCCCTTTATACTAATTTTTTTAGCCGCATAATAGTATTTCTCAAAGAAATTATATATGAACCTCAGATTTTGAGGGCGTTGTTGAGCCTTTTATATGCGTTTTCAACCACTACTTTTTGTAAGGAGCAACACCTCATTTCGTTTCAGCAAAAATTTACGACGCAGAGTACCTCCACAGACCTCCTCGTGCTTACAGTTTCAGACATGTTTACAAAATATTGCTGTAATCATAAGGCAAGAATTTGACCGTAAAAGCTGCAAAAGG